AATGCCTTTGTATCGCTGGGGAGGGGGGCCAGGCCGGTACCTGTTTTTGTTAGGGGTCCCACCCGCTCTATGGGTGAGCCAGGGAAGAGATCCTCTTGGGTTTTGGGAGTTTCAGTTATCCTTGGGATTCAAGCCAGTCAACTTGCAGCACAATGTTTTCTGGGTGTCTGACAGATCTTTTTTTCGGCCATGTGGCAATTCTCTAATAGCAGTGCCCGGAAACCTGCACCAAGGTCAGATAATAGTGAGTGGCAAGGGGTGTGGGAAAAGATGGGCAAAGGCCTGAGTCGGTGGGCACCTCCAATGCTTTGGAATTTCACTCCCGAACAAATGCAGAGTCCTGAAAAGATGCTGGAGTGCTTAGAAAGGGTGTGTTACCAAACTGGCAAAACCTAGGAGACACAAATAGCTACAATGTGTTGGGGACTTGCCCATGGCTACCCTGTCCTCTTTAATACCACCCACTGCCCTCAGGGGGAAGAAAAGGCTACAGAACCTGAGAGTGAACTCCTGAAAGAGTAGCTGGACGAGGGGGACAGGCAGAGCCAGTCTCAGTCACCTCCACCAGCACAGCAGCTGAGCCAGAGAGCGAGCCAGTGTCGGTATCAGTCGACCCAATACAGAAAACAAAATATACCAGAAAGTCAGCTCGCAAAGTAGGGGATGAGGAAGAGCCAGGCCCAGAACGGGAACAGCAGGAAGGACCAGAGGTGATCATCCGATCTCTATCCCTGACTGAGCTGCAAGATATGGGGAGAAATTTTGGCCACCTGGGAGGTGAGCAGATTTGCACCTGGCTGCTCCGATGCTGGGACAATGGAGCCAGTGCTTTTGAAATGGAGGGGAGAGAGGCCAAGCAGCTGGGATCTTTGGCCAAGGATGCTGGCATTGATAGGGCAATAGGGAAAAAGGCTCAAAACCTCAGCCTTTGGAAGTGACTCCTGCTCAGGGTAAGGGAGAGGCACCCCTACAAGGATGATATCCTATGTCAGCTAGACAAATGGACCAACACTGAGAAAGGCATCCAGAACCTCAGGGAACTGGCTGTGTTTGAGATGATCTATGGTGATCTGAATGATGAGCAGTCACCCATGGACCAGATCAGGCCCCTTGCACACACCTGATGTGGCGAAAGTTCCTGAAGAGTGCCCCAGAAGCACACTCGAAAGCATTGGCAATAGTGTCCTGGTGGACAGACACCCACACTCTGACAGGGGATGGAGTGGTTGGCAAGCTCCAGCAATATGAGGGAAATCTCCCTTCATCTCAACATCCCTGGGTCTCAGCTGTGGAGGAACTGTCTCAGAGGGTCCAGGCAATGGAAGAGGACATGTCCTACATTCCACCTGCACTGGCCGATGTCTCAGCCATTAGAAGTAAACGTTTCCCCACCCAAGAGAAAGGCAGCAGAAGGCACACACCATGAGGCACCCTGTGTTTTTTCCTCCGCGACCATGGAGAAAACATGAGGACGTGGGATGGACAGCCCACTGCCACCCTACCTCCACAAGTAGAGCAGCTGAAAGGGAAGACCATCACAAAAGGGGAGTCCTCCAAGAAGAGCACAGCTCCAGTGTCCAGTCAGAAATCCCCCAGACAGAATAGAATGGCCAATGTTATGTCTGACCCCCTTGAGAGTACCAGTAAATCATTCTTACAAGAAGTGAGTGATGATGAGCAGGATTAGAGGGGCCCTGCCTCCAGCCAGGTGGAGGAAAGGGATAATCGGATTTGCTGGACAGTGTGGATCCGATGGCCTGGCACGTCAGACCCACAAGGGTATAAGGCTTTGGTGGACACTGGCACACAGTGCACCCTGATGCCATCGAGCTACAGTGGGGTTGAATCCATCTGCATCTCTGGAGTGACAGGGGGATCCCAACAGCTGACCCTACTGGAAGCTGAAGTGGGCCTGACTGGGAAGGACTGGCATAAGCACCCCATTGTGACTGGCCCAGATGCCCCGTGCATCCTGGGCACAGACTATCTCAGGAGAGGGTACTTCAGAGACCCAAAAGTGTACCGGTGGGCTTTTGGTGTAGCTGCCCTGGAGGGGGTTGAACAGTTGTCCACCTTACTCGGCCTCTCAGAGGATCCCTCAGTGGTGGGGCGGCTTAAGGTTAAGGAGCAGCGAGTGCCGATTGCTACCAGGACGGTGCAGCGGCGGCAGTACCGCACCAACCGAGATTCCCTGGTCCCCATCTATCAGCTGATCTGTCAACTAGAAAGCCAGAAGGTGATCAGCAAAACTCACTCCCTCTTCAACAGCCCTATATGGCCAGTGAGAAACCTAATGGCGAATGGAGGCTAACTGTGGGCTACCGTGGCCTGAATGAAGTTACACCAGCAGTGAGTGCTGCAGTGCTGGACATGCTGGAGCTCCAGTATGAACTGGAGTAGAAGGCAGCCAAGTCGTACGCCACGACTGACATTGCTAATGCGTTCTTCTCCATTCCGATAGCACCAGAGTGCAGGCCACAGTTTGCGTTCACTTGGAGGGGCATCAAGTACACCTGGAATCGATTGCCCCAGGGGTGGAACCACAGCTCCACCGTTTGCCATGGACTGGTCCATACTGCACTGGAGAAAGGTGGGGCTCCAGAACACCTGCAGTACATTGATGACATCATTGTATGGGGGGACACAGCTGAGGAAGTCTTTGAGAAAGGGAATAAGATAATTGAAATCCTCCTGAAGGCCAGCTTTGCCATTAAGCAAAAGAAAGTCAAGGGGCCTGCAAGGGAAATTCAATTCCTAGGAATAAAATGACAAGATGGATGTCGCCACATCCCAATGGAGGTGATAAGCAAGATCACAGCCATGGCCCCACCAACCTCTAAAAAGGAGACTCAGTCTTTCCTGGATGCTGTGGGGTTCTGGAGGATGCAAATCCCGAACTACAGCCTGATTGTGAGCCCTCTCTACCACGTAACCCCTAAGAAGAACGATTTTGAATGGGGCCCTGAGCAACAACAATCCTTTGAACAAATTAACTGGGAGATTGCCCAAGCAGTAGCCCTCGGGCCAGTCCGGGAAGGGCAGGAGGTTAAGAACATGCTCTACACCGCAGCCGGGGAGAATGGCCCTACCTGGAGCCTCTGGCAGAGAGCACCTGGGGAGACCCGAGGCCGACCTCTGGGCTTTTGGAGCCGGGGATGCAAAGGCTCTGAAGCTAATGACACACCAACTGAGAAGGAGATACTGGCAGCGTACGAAGGAGTTCGGGCTGACTCAGAAGTGGTCGGCACTGAAACACAGCTCCTCCTGGCACCCCGACTGCCGGTGCTGGGGTGGATGTTCAAAGGAAAGGCCTCCTCCACACATCATGCAACAGATGCCACGTGGAGTAAATGGGTTGCGTTGATAACACAATGGGCTCGAATAGGGAACCCCAGCCGCCCAGGGATACTAGAGGTGATTACGAACTGGCCAGAGAGCAAAGATTCCGGGATGTGACCAGAACAGGAGGTGACACGTGCTAAGGAAGCCCCACCATATAACGTGCTGCCGGATGAGGAGAAGTGATATGCCCTGTTCACTGATGGGAAAACATCGACAATGGAAGGCTGCTGTGTGGAGTCCCACACGACGGATCACTGAAGCTGCTGAGGGACAGGCTGAATCGAGCCAGTTTGAAGCGGTGAAAGCCGTTCAGCTTGCTTTGGATATTGCTGAGTGCAATAATGGCCGAGGCTCTACATCTACACTGACTCGTGGTCAGTGGCAAATACCCTGTGGAAATGGTTGCAGCAATGAAAGCAGAACAACTGGCAACGTAAGGGTAAAACCGTCTGGGATGCTGAAGTATGGCAGGGCATTGCAGCCCGTGTGGAAAACCTCATTCTGAAGGTGCGCCATGTGGATGCCCATGTACCCAAGAGTCGGGCCAGTGATGAACATCGACACAACCAGCAGGCAGACCAATCTGCTAAGATTAGAGCAGATCAGGTAGACTCGGACTGGCAGCACAAAGGTGAACTGTTCATAGCCCAGTGTGCCCATGAGACCTCGGGCCACCAGGGTAGAGATGCAACATCTAGGTGGGCTCGAAATCGAGGGGTGGACCTCACCATTGACACCATTGCAGAGATCATCCACGGATGTGAGACGTGTGCTGCAATCAAATGTGCCAAGCGGGTGAACCCCCAGCGAAATGGAGAGCGATGGCTGAAATATAGATATGGAGAGGCCTGGCAGATTGACTACATCACACTGCCACAGACCCGCCACAGGAAGCGCCACGTGCTCACAATTGTGGAAGTAACCACTGGATGGCTGGAAACTTACCCAGCACCCCACGCCACCGCCCAAAACACCATCCTGGGCCTTGAAACCCAAGTCCTGTGGCGACACGGCACCCCAGAGAGAATTGAGTCAGACAACAGGACCCACTTCTGAAACAACCTCATAAATGCCTGGGCAGAAGAACACGGCATCGAGTGGGTCTGCCCTATCCCCTACCACGCACCAGCCTCTGGGAAGATCGAGCGCTACAATGGACTGTTAAAAACCACATTGAAAGCACTGGGAGGTGGCACCTTCAAAGACTGGGACATGCATCTAGCAAAGGCCACCTGGCTAGTCAACACAAGAGGATCTGCCAGTCGAGCTGGCCCGGCTCAGTCAAAATCTCCATGTGCTGTAGATGGGGATAAAGTCCCTGTGGTGCGCATAAGGAATATATTGGGAAAAATGGTCTGGTTTAGTCCTGCGCCTGGCAAAGGTAAAGGCAAACCCATCCACGGGATTGCTTTTGCCCAAGGACCTGCGTGTACCTGGTGGGTGATGCTGGACAATGGAGAGGTCCGATGTGTACCACAGGGGGACTTGATTCTGGGTGTGAACATGCCGTGAATTATGCTGTGCCTTTGTAAAATGTTGTTTTGTTATTGTTAACTGCTAAATGGCAGCTGGACATGACGCAGATGGTATAGAATAAAGGGGTGGATGATGTCCTGGTTCAGCTATGATATGGTTAAATTTCCTCCGCAGAGAGAGAGGGGAAAGGTATCTCCAGCTGGGTTATTTATACCATGCTGAGGTCATGTTCACACGTGGGAACTTTTTACTTTTTCCGTTGTGGTCTTGGTGGCTGGGAGCTGTTCCGTGAATATTTGCGGTATTTCTCTGTATATCTTCTGTCTTGTTCACTGTTATTACTGTTTATGGTTGTTATCATTACAACTGTTGTTGTTCAGATTGTTTATTTCACTGTTTTATTAAATTTCTCCTTATTTTAACCCGGGGTTTGTGCCTCACTGCCAGCCTGACTGGCTGAGGGTGGTGTAGGGGCAACAGCAACGTGGTCTCCGGTCCCAGGAGGGCTTAAACCAGCACACAAGGTCATATCATATCAGAAACAGGACGTGGAAGTGAAGCTGGCATGGAAGTATAGAACTGGCCTATTCTATTGGTAAATAGATTTGGCCAAGGGTGACTCTTTTAGAGAAAGATGCCCTTGTGCATTTAGGTAGTAGCTAGTAAAAGTTTTTTGTTTTCTAAACCACAGGAATTTTTAAAAAGCTTAACTTGTAAGTAACATATTTTTCAACTTGAGGGAAAAGCTATATACTCTTAAAATTAAAGTAGGAAGCACATTTTTTGTTAGGGTGGGAATCTGTGTCACATTCCATCTTCATTGCACATAGGGCCTGGAATCCATAGAGAGGAGATAAAACACATGATACTGTGTTACCCAAGCCGCAAGAAAGCTTTAAACATTTTAGCAAGGGAAGCAAGCTATCATCTGGCAGATAACAAAATCTATAGTCTCTTTACAGTTTACCACTCATTCTGCAATATCCACAGAGAATCAAGATCTCTCTTAAATGAAAAAATGATAGTATATTGACAACTGACAATTTGTAACTGTGAACTCTGAACAGGCAAACTAGGTTCAACAAGGAAAATGTTGGCTCATGAAGACAGCCTTCTATACTGATATACCCCTCGTTGCTCTTCATTTTCATCTGCCTGAATTACTTGGAAGAGAGAAAAAAAAAAAAAAGTATTATTTTAAATCTGTCATAATTTAGTGTTTTTCACCAAACAAATACTAACCTGATATAAAAGTTCAAGCACACTAAATAGTTGAATATCTGTCTTTAAAGGAGCTTTGCACCTTTAGTTAGCTCATTTGCTTGAAAAACAGAAGCCTTGCTTAGCATCTTAGCAGTGTGCTTCTCAATTTCTGTAAAACGATCTAGGACTTTGCATGCTTTAACCCCAGCTGGCAATCAAGCACCATACAGCCACTCACTCACTCTCCCCCTGCCAGTGGGATAGGGGAGAAAATCAGAAAGACAGAAGTAAAACTTGTGGGTTGAGACAGAAACAGTTTAATAGCACAGGAAAGTAAGGGAAAATCATAATAGAATACAGAAGACAAGTGATACACACAATATAATCACTCACCACCCACTGACTGATGCACAGTGAATCCCCAAGCCATAGTGCCTCCAGGCTAACTTCTCCCAGTTTATATACTGAGCATGACATCTTCTGGTATGGAATACCCCTTTGCGTCAGCTGTCCTTGCTGTCACCCCTCCCAGTTCTTGTGAACCTCCAGCCCCCTTGCCAGCAGGGCAGTATGAAAAGCTGAAAATACCTTGGCTTTGTATAAACACTGCTTAGCAACAACCAAATCAATATGTTATCATCAACTTTATTCTCATCTTAAATCCAAAACACGGCACTACATCAGCTACTAGGAAGAAAATTAACTTTATTCCAGATGAAAACCAGGACAGACTTCTGTCCTCTTATTAGGTAAATGGATGCTTAAGAATGCAAGAGAGAAGACAAACCCTCTGCTCAGTGAGAGGAAACAAAATATTGTATTGAATGACCAAATTTCCTGCAGAAGGCCTTTTCCAATATAGAACTTGGCTTGGTAATGCATCTGTGGTTCTAAAGTCTGCATGACCTACCTGTTGAGACTATATAACCTCAGTGGATGATTTTGAAATTTGTGTGATGGGACAACTCCTTCTGACCCTAGCTGATCATCAGTTTGCAGATAATATTTTCCCAGTTTTTTTCATATCACAACAAAGGAGAAAAGAGAAGCACCTACTACCTACATACAGGAGGTTTGTTCCAAAGGAAATCTGAACTACAAGTATCAGGGTTGCCTGGATTCATTTCCTGTACCTTTACTTTGAACCTAGATCTTCAGCATGTGCTTATTATTTCACAAGAGAGTACCCCAGCCACAAAACAACAAACAAGACATGGAAGCTGTATCTAAACAGCAAGAGCAGTCCTCAGGAAATTCTTAATCTTACTGAAAACTTCTTTCACCTGTGACAGTTCCTTTCGGCCTAGTCCTGGCAACTATCTCAGGAGACTGTGTCTTGGGGAACTGTATCTGTTTATAACCCTGGGAAATACTCCACAGTTTTTCATACAATTTCAAATTATTCCACAATTTCCGCATACTTAGTCGTTAAGTCTCTAAAGAAAAATGTGTAATAATAACTATCAATTTTATATGAAAATGAAAGCAAAAGAATTTATGGGCAGGGAGGACTTTTTTATTAAATATAATGTTAGAGAATTATGTAATGTTAACTTCTAAATTTACTCAGCCTCATATTCCTCTTCAAAGACTTACAGATATCTGTTTGAGAACAAGAAATACTAATGCACTAATACCTTGGTCAAATGTAACAGAAATCTTAATTTCAGAATGGGCTGCTTGCTGAATTATTTACTAAAAACTCTTCAGAACAAGAATCTGAGAAAATTTCTGGGCAAGATGCAGTTGAAAGGACCCTTCTACTGGTGTCTATAGAGCCTATGAGTCAATTAACAGCATTAATAAACAACACAAAGTCACAATCTTATGACAAACAATTCATAAACAGAAGAAAAAGCCTAGATTTAGTAAATATATTATTAAAAGCATACTGCACCACCCTTACACAGTGCTGGAGTGCCTGCCTCTTTCTTGAGGCAGATTAGACTCTAGATCATTTATGTCATCAAAATAGGAATGGTTCCTGATTTATAGGATAACATTTTCAAGTACCAAAATCTTTGTTTGCTCAATCATTTTTCAACCATTTCTCATGGGGCAGATTATCTTCACAGTTTTTTCACAAATGACTGTGTCAACACATACCAGTCAGGAATGTGAAAGAACCAAGTCTGGCACTTACTGTGCTTAAATCGGCAATCTAACTTAACCAAAAGTCACTGGAAATTTTAAATTCCTAAAAAAAAAAAAAAAAAAAAAAAAAAAAAAAAAAAAAAAAAAGACAATCATATATGTTCTCTCCCAGTCAACAGTGGCAGGTACATGTCCCTGAAGAGAGAGGTCACACTGCTCTACTCAGCCTAAGCACTTTCGTCAGTCTCTTGTTTCTCACTATAAACTTGCTATATCGTACTTCCCACTTGGCCAAATAATGAATTATTATCAAATCTTAAGAAAAGATCCAAAACACTGAAGTTAGCTGTCTTTACCTTCCATTGTATGCAGGAGAATTTAGGCTTCTTCAGCTAATTGTGATGCCCTCTGCTTAAACACAACATGGTGGTTGTCACAGCACCCATGCAGTGCAAGGCTCTGAGGTAAATGCCCTGCTCAGTGTGCAGAGTTGAGGTCCACAAAAACCTTGCTCCCTGAAACAAGCTGGAGAACTGTATTTTATTCTGAAGTCAGACTTCCACGTAGCCAGAAACAGGAGAATCATCAGTCCTTCTTCCAGGGGATAGAGAAACTGACTACATTTAGGAGGGTATATAATAGGGAGTCTAGTTTCTGGTTCTATTATTTTTGGATAATGATAGTCTAATGTAGCTTCTTATGTGTTTATGAGTCTAAGTATCACCATCAACACCAATTCCTTAGGGAAATGCTTTTTTCTTAGACTACCCTCTACCATTTTCAGATACCTGCAGAACAGTTACTTCTGACGCTGTTTGGACATAGGAAGCGACAACATCCCAACAAGCTTTGGATTTTTTTGAGCAGACAGTTTGGAGCATGTACAACCAACTAAAGTGCTAAATAAGGACATCAGCAAATTAATCTCACTTTTTTATGTACCTCTTGGTGTATGTTCACAGAATCACAGAACCACAGAATTATTCAGGTTGGAAAAGACCCTTGGGATCATCAAGTCCAAGCATCAGCCCTACTCTACAAAGTTCTCCCCTACACCACATCCCCCAACATCTCATCTAAACAACCCTTAAACACATCCAGGGATGGTGACTCCACCACTATTGACCCACGGCTTTTAATTTGATCCTTCTTTAACCTGTTCAGAGTTTAAGCAATTATACAGCACTGACAACTCCTGTCTCACTTCCAGTCATGACAATTTTCATGCAAGGCACTGTAAATGGAACTTGTTAACTTCCCAGATTAATCCTCAGCCATTTCACTGCAGTATCATACCTGTCATGTTCTACAGCAGCTCCTGCTACTTTAAACACCATGGTCCTTTTGATGATATGCATTTTTATTTTCATTCAGGTTTCTATGTTTTTCCTCTTGTGGTTTGTTTGTTGGGGTTTTTTTAACTGAATACAATTCAACTCATTCAACATGAAATATTAATTATTACAATATTTCTTAGAAACAATAGAGGTTACTAGCATTCTTTTTGCTTAATATTTTTGGTAGATGTTTATTTATCAGTCAATTAGCAATCTTCTAAGTCAGCTAAAATGAATGATTTTGTACTTTGAAAAATATGCTCCTTTTTTAATGAAAGCATAGCTGTCAAAATCTTGTTCAAAATCTGATGTTAGAACCAGATTGTAGACCCAGCAATCACAACCTCTGTGGTCTAGGAGAGCACATTAAGTGGAGATTCAGATATGGTTTACACAGTCAATAATGACCCATCAGTATGCACCTTTGGTAATGAGAACAGAATAACACTTTCTAAAAATAACCCGAAACAAAATAGAAACCCCACTGGGATTATTGACATCAAATGTAGTTTAAGATAAACTAAAAATACTCGGTTTAAAATATAATTTGGATCTTTTCCATTGC